AGGGGGGGGGGGGGGGAGCTGCGGCATTAAAGACATCACTTCCCTCTACTCCACATTTCGAGGGGGGCGGCGGCTCGTTAAGGCCTGGCTAATTCTTTTGCCTCCCGGCTTTTAAAAGAGGCGAACCGGCAAGCAAGCAAGCAGTAAGGCAGGGAAGGGTGCACCACACAAGAACCGCGTCTTAATAGGAGCTAATACTGAGAAAAGAAGCTCAGCTTCTTAAACCTTTCAAATCTAATCCAAGTAGGATTAAAACACAGAATGTAATGTCTCCCAGAGGGGAGGGAGAGAAGGACGAGGAGGCTGACGTCAAGATCCACACCAGCGCCGTTTCTAAATTTGGGGTGGGTGCTGTGGGACTAGAGGCAGGCTACGCCAGACGGCCACGGCTTTGCCACTAAAAAAGCAGCCACGTCTTTCCGGAGCCCAGGTCACGGAAAGCAAATCCCACAAAACTGACCCACGCTCTCTGCAGGCATGAAAGCAGGCCCCCCACCACCACCGCCACCTTCGACTCCGACTCCTCTTTGTCGATTAGCAACCTTTCTCACCGCCTTGCTGTTCAATATCCAAAGCAGCAAACAGCAGGAATACAAATAGACACGGACACACGACAGAAATGAGCAGACCAAACCTCAACGGTTCTGGATAAAATTGGCCTCCCAGTTTAGAAGTGTCCCGCCACAGGGGCTACTCTTCTTAGGACCCCTGGCGGCAGTGGCTGAGATCCGGCAGAAGGGCTCTCCCAAAGAGACCCAACCCAAGGGCAGTTTTTGTACCAGCTCTCTGTTTCTCTCTCTTACAGCATATTTTTTTCTTTTATTGTTAATATTTTTGTGTTGACGCTTAAATCACATTTAGTACTGCTCAGGTGGAAGGGGAAAAGCACCACCTAACTATGTGAGAAAGACAGAAATGCTAAGGACCAGAAAAGGGGAAGGAAGAAGCCCAGATTCGTGACCCAGTTCAGCATCCCTAACTTCTAGGCACGTGCGCAAGAGCGCCAGCATCCTGTGCAAAGCAGAGGCAGCTCAGATGATCACAGTCCCCCTCAGGCCGTGCCCGTGGGGCTCAACGCACGGCTTTCCCACAGCAGTTCAGCTTGCCAAGGCGAGGCAGAGCAAACGCGTGCCCCCCCTTCCCCCCCGTTTCCTAAGGCACAGCCACCTGAGCAAAGACGGAAGAGAGCAAAGAGAAAGAGCTGGGAGCCCGGCCGCCGGCAAGAGCCAGCATCAGCAGGGCCCTCCCCCCGGCGCTTCCGCCTGCGCTGCCCGGTTGATTCGGAGAACCCCAAGAGACTTCCTCAAAGTTGAGCACCAGAAGCACCAGAACCAGGCGGAGATCGGAAACCTTTTCCCGCACTCCTACGAACAGCAGCAGCACCAGGGCTGCTATGCAAAAATGCTGGGGGAGGTGAGAGAGTCGTGGACAATCCCCTCCCCCCCCCACACCGTACAGAAGACGAGCCTGCCCGGAGGAGCCAAAGGAAGCCAAGACACACCTACGCGCTCCGGGGACCCGTCCTGGCCAGGGTCAGGACTCTGCTCCCCTGTTCGAGTCAGGACTCTGCTCCCCTACGGCCAAAGGCCACCAAGGATGGACGACCGCAGCCCAAGAGGAAGGCACACAGGCACGACATCCCCCCCATTCCCTTTGGCCAAAGGGGCTGCCAGCGCCTTCACCAGCTGGCCTACAAGGAGCCACTTCAAGCTCCTCCATGGGAGAGCAGAGTAAATAAGAGAAGGGTCTCAAAACACAAAATTTGGGCCAGTCCAGGAAGCGATGTCAACAACGTTCCCGCTCTGTCTTTCCAGCACGTCAAACCAAAGGCCACCGACAGGGCCCGGCACTCATACTAGGGCCACCCGAGGCCACAGAAGCCGCAGTGGGAAAGGCAGGGCCCTCCCAGGAACCACCCCAGCTGCTCGGCCAGGCCTCCAACATAGCCCCCACCCTGCTCCCCCCAGGAGCACCCCAACCTATCCTCCTACCAGAGGGGCCCCCCCCACACCTGTGTGTGTGTCTTACCTGGGTCCCTTCTCCTTCCAGTCGTGGGGGGCGGATGCTGGAGAGGTGGACCGTCTTGCAGTCTCCCGAGTTGAGTTTCACCACAATGGCATCGGCATTCAGCACCTGCATCACCTGGAAGGAGAAAAGGTGGGGTGAGCCTGTGCCCCTTCCGCCCGGCCTCTGCTGCCGCTGCTGCTACGGCCGCTTGTGCAATTCCTGAGCACCAGCCCGGCCCCTGCCATCCAAACACGGCCACTTCACACACACACCACACACCAGAGATGAGGGTCAGGTCTTTTCGCGTGGCCCCTGCCCTTCGGCTTCTCCAGGAGCAACAGCCCGAGCACCACCTCACGGCTCGGCTGCTCCCAGGGACCAACCTGGCTGGGCTTCTTGGCGACCCCTCTGCAAGGGGCGGAAGGGGGAGGCAGTCCTAAGGGCATGGTGTCGCCCTGCAAGGAACCCGGGCAGCCAGAGAAGGGCCTGCTCACACTGCCAGCAAACTCGGTTACAAACGCACACACAAACACCACCTGCTGTGCCACAGCCTGCAGAGGCTTCTTTAGGGACAACTCCGTCTGGCCATGACACGCTTCCTCTGCTGTGGACCTGCCACCCAAGACGTGCGCGGGATGGCCACAGAAGAGTTTACGAGCTCCCTCCCTCCCACCCCGCCCATCACCAAAGAGAGGATGAGCGCTGCCTTATTGCCTTCACAGTTAAACCATCTCCTGGAACAGTGTGTGCGGGGGTGGGGGGTAGGGGGGGAAGCTGCCTAAAGGGCTCAGCCCCACAGCAGCGCCTTCTTCAGCTCAGCAGGAAGCAACAGAGCCCCACTCCTTGCCAGGCTGAATTGGGGGAACAGGATTTCAATTAGAAGCCATGCATTACTTTAGATTTCAACTTGATATTGTCAATTTCAAAGCAGGCTCTTAATGTTCTTTTCTTCTACACTTGTTATCGCACCATTTTAAACGCCTATGAAATTATTCCAGAAAACCCTCAGAACGACTTTGTTTTACAGTAAATTACTACAGTAAATTAGTGCTTCAAAGCTCCCTGTTCAAAGCACAGGCAGCAACTACTCTGTTCCAGAGCGCGGGAGGGCGGGGGGGGGCACCTGCAGGGCCTCTCCTTCTGGCGCCTACCATCTCCCCCACCCCCACCCCCACCCAAGGGCTCCCCAGGAGAAAAGGCAGCCCCTACAGCGCCTGTCCTGCGACAGCCCAGAAGCAGCTTCCTGTTTAGACATTCTGTGCACTGCTTTCCCTCCACTTTGATGCACACTTTAATGAAGCTGAAGGGTTTGAGGCGAGCCAGAGCAGCTGAGCGCAAGGCCATCCGGAGACCAGACTCCGGTGCCAGTCTATAGACGTCTGGAAGGTCACTCGAGGCAGGGAAGGTCAAAGCTAAACCAACCCTCCAAGAGGGATCCACCCTCCTCAGAAAATGGGTAGGTTCCAGCGGGGAAGGGGCCAGAGAAACCCTTAAAGGGCAGATGCTGGATTGAGGCGAGCCAGAGCAGCTGAGCGCAAGGCCATCCGGAGACCAGACTCCGGTGCCAGTCTATAGACGTCTGGAAGGTCACTCGAGGCAGGGAAGGTCAAAGCTAAACCAACCCTCCAAGAGGGATCCACCCTCCTCAGAAAATGGGTAGGTTCCAGCGGGGAAGGGGCCAGAGAAACCCTTAAAGGGCAGATGCTGGAATCGCAGAGCCAAGAGGATGATGGAGCTGGAAGGGGTCTAGAAGGCCATCGAGTCCGACCCCCTGCTGAGGGCAGGAATCCAAATCAAAGGAGATCAGCAAGGTGGCTGTCCAAATTTCTCTTGAAAGCTTCCAGCATCCAGCTGGAGCACTCGCCACCTTCTGAGGTGATGGGTTCCGTTATCACACTGCTGTTAGGAAGTTTTTCCTGATATTCAACCAAAAATCTGGCTTTCAGTACCTTGAGCCATTTGTTGCGTGTCCTATACTCTGGGATGATGGAGAACAGATCCTGCCCCTCCTCTGTAGGACTACCTTTCAAGTACTTTGAAAAGGGCTATCCTATCTCCTCTCGGTCTCCTTTTCTCAAGGCTAAACCTGCCCAGTTCTTTCAGTCTTGGTTTCCTTGGCTTCCTTCCCCCACCCCACCCCCCGATCATCCTTGCTGCCCTCCTCTGATCTTGTTCCCGTTCATCAGCATCCTTCTTAAAGCACAGTGTCCAGAACAGGACACATGATCACAGATGAGGCTAAACCAGCCCTGAATAGAGGGGAACGAGTACCTGATGCGAGTTGGAGACTCTCTCAATGCAGGTCTACGAATGGGCAGGATAACTCTTCCCTTCTTCTAGATGTTAAGAAAGCAGCTGACTGGCTAGAGTGTACCTTCACATCATCTGTTTTTTGGAAATGAGTTGACGGTCTCAGGGAACCACAGGCCTTCCTGAATTAATACGAGGTGAGTAAACAAAGTAGCCTCACTGTTCACCGTAACAAGAATTCTACACAAACCTAATATAAATATTCCTGAACACAAAACGGAGATTCTATTTAAGAAAAACTTTGGCAACTCAATCCCTCCTAAGCCTTCACGTTGCCTACAAAACCTTCAGGAGGCCTGCCGTCCAAGATCTCACTGACTCTGCTGTTCTGTGCTATCAAAGCAAAGCAAAGCAAAGCAAAGCAAAGCAAAGCGTGGTGCTTACAGACCGCCCCCCATAGTGCTTCAAGCACTCCCTCGGCGGTTTACAACTTAATTATGCGGGCGACCGCACCCCATAGTGCTTCAAGCACTCTCTCTCTCGGCGGTTTACAACTTAATTATGCGGGCTACACATTGCCCCTCCCAAACGAGCTGGCCACTCAGGCTGAGTCCACCTTGAGCCGGCTCCGTGAGCAGAGTTTGGGCTGCAGCACAGCGGTTTTAACCACTGCGCCACGAGGCTATCCCCGTCACTTCCACGTCAGCAAAGAAGGACAAGAGCTGCTCTCCCAGGTCACCAGATCATCATCATCATCATCATCAGTTAAGGCAGGGGATTTACGAGGAAGAACGTAGTGAGGAAAGAGTTTTAATCAAATGTGGCCATGAAGGGTCAGCGTAGCAGACCCATTGGGCCTCACAACGAAAGAACGCACGGCCAACCACCACAATCCCCGAGACACCAGAGGTAATGGCCAGGCCAGGCCACGTGGGCTCTCCGCCAATGAATCAGAGAGGTCAGAGGAACACACACACACAAACACAAACACAAACACAAACACACACACACACACTCCTGAAACGAAGAAGAGGCCCAGAGGAGAGCAACGGCTGGCTAGAGAAGAGGGTACCGAGGAGCAGGCCAGAGAACCACTCCCGGAGGACTCGCACTGGGGCCCCTAGCCTGACCCAAGAGAGACGGGGGCCTGGCCTGTGATGTGCAGAAGTTGAATAAAGGCTAGATGGAAGAATGCGGCTCTCCGCTCCTGCAGGCTCATGTCCTTGAGGAGCCTCGTGGCACAGTGGGTCAACTGCAGTCCTGCAGCCAAGACTCCGGTCATGGCCCAGGTTCAATCCCAGGGAGCCGGCTCGTGGGTCACTCAACCTTCCATCCTTCCAAGGTTGGTCAACTGAGGACCCAGCTCCCTGGGGGTGAGGGCAATGCGTAGCCTGCATACTTCAGTTGTGAACCGCTCAGAGAGTGCTTTAAGTGTGATGTGGCAGCATATAAGAAGCACGTATGGCTTCGCTCGGTACGAGATGGCATCTCATGACAGCGGGCCAATTCCTAGAGGAAAACCAAGGATGCCGTTCTCATCGTGAAAACGGAACACAACCGGGGCAAAGGCAGGGGCAGCGGGTGTCTCGGACGACGGCTGTTCAGCCTCTCCTGACCGGCCCTGCCAGACGAAACCTCCTGCATGTGACACACAAACCAGAGGCTCCTCAGATCCTGCTCAAGGGCCTTTGGCACTTTTAATGGGTACAGTAACGATGGCGACACACAGGAGAGGAAAGAAACCCGCCTGCAGCCAGCGGGCACCCACCACCACCACCCGCTCCCCCTCCCCCTTGGCACCTGGGGGAGAGAGGGGGGCATTCTGTGGCTTCCCCGAGGAGGGTGGCCCACCATCGTCCACAATTAGTGGCTAGCCTGCCCAGCGGGGATGGGAGACCTTCTGACAGGAGTCCCCGAGGGTGGAAGGCAGACAGGGCAATGCCTCTCGGTCACCCCTTACAGACAAGAGGAGGCAGCCAAAAAACTAGGGAAAGTCTTCCAGACCTTGGACCCCTGGCCACTGGAGGCCCTGGCTGTGGGCCTCCCTCAGAGGGGTCTATATCGCCTCACACACTGCCAAGCAGAGCCACAGAGAGTGGCTTTGAGTGGTCGCGCCCTGCTCGGCTGGGGTGCCACTCCTGGGGTTCTGAGCCCAGGAGAGCCTTCCTCCCTCTCTGCACATGGATAGAGGCCAACTCAAACCTCAAGTGAAATAAGCCGTCAGCCTCCCAGCCCGATCAGTTTCTTTTCACTTATGTGGAAGACCTGATGCCCCATTGGGAGAACGGCGCCCACTTGACCCACGTCCACGCTTTCAAGGACAGGAACAAAGGGGCCGGTTACCCCAAAGAAGGGGCACGGGGGGCAGGGCAGCAGTGGGAGGGGGCAGGAAGACTACCTCCCACTCTGGCGCCGGGAGGGCCAAGGGCCCAGAAACACCACAGTGGCCATCGCAGTCCTCTTCCTTTTCTTCTCCACTGGGAAGAACGGAGCGGTCAGCCGGAATCGGCCTGGGCCACACGCCTCTCGCCACCCACCAAGAACCGAGGAGGAGCCAGAGGCCCGGCCCGGGCCCACGGCCCACGGCCGCCCCCTCCCCAGCTCAGCCATCATCAGGAGAGACGAGCAGGGTCCAACTCGGTCCACCTCTTCAACCCCCCACACCCCCGCCGCTTGCCCGCCAGCAAAGGCAGACGCGGCGGCCTCTCTCTCCCCCCCCCCCGACCACCCCCCCCACGATCCCTCTCCAAGATGGATGCTTGTGGATGAAGTTCCTTCCGCCACCATGACAGCAGCCGACATTCACTGGCGCTTAAAAGCACTCAGCCATTTGTCCTGCTTTTCCTTGTCACTCGCTATTGGCACAGAGACGGAGAGGGACCGAAAGCTGACAAGCCGCAAAGGCAGGAGCTGCCCGGGAGCTTCCTCCTCCTCCTCCTCCCCCCCCCATGTCGTCCTCCGCTCTGGCTCCCGGGCCGCTCACTCCCTCCCTCCCTCGCCAGCCTGCCTGCCTGCCTGCCTGCCTGCCTGGGGCAGGTGCTTGCGAGGGGAAGCCAAAGCCACCCATATACACCACAGGCGCACACCCTCACAGTGCCGCTTCCAAGCGGGAGCCCCAGAGCCGCCCTCCAGCAGGGCTTTGGAGCAGCCTCGGCCCGCAAAGGCCCCGCGTCCAAAGAGGGGAACCAGCCCCTGGCTCTCCGCAGGCACACACCTCCCGGGAGGGGCTTCCCACCCTCCGAACATCCAGCTGACAGTCAGAGCTGCCGTTTGTGCACCAAGAAGAGGGGGGGGCTTCTCAGGACCCCAGCAGAAGCCTCTCTCTCCCCCCCCCTCCCAAGACCCACACACACCCCTCTGTGGCAAACAGGCTCCCCATCAACACTCCTTCCACCACCAAGAGGGGAACAGTCCCGCAGGAGAAGGAAGGCGCCCCCAGTTGCAGCGCTGTCTCGCACGCACGCACGCACACCCCAAGCCCTCCCAGCTTTGAGGAGCCAGAGCCCTGCAGGCAATGGGCAGGAGACAGTCCCGTGAAGGAAAGCCCCCCTGTCCCCCCCCACACACACCTGACCTGTCCCCCCCCACACACACCTGCCCTCCTCCCTGATGGGCAGAGGGCTGGCCAAAGGACAGGGGGCTGTCGAGGGGGGGGCGCCCATCCGCACTCCAGGGAGCCGAGGAAGGGGAGAAGTGCCGCCTCCGCCGCCGCCTCAGCAGAAACAGCCGAGGGGCAACCCGGGTCCCGGCAAGCCTTCACACACACACACCCCCCCGGAAGCTCACCTGCAGCCGAGCTCACCTGAGGAGACAGGGGCCTCCTCGCCCAAGACGAGAGCTCAGGCCTCCGGATCCTGCCGCG